GAAGGCCTTTTTGGCGCACGCAAACGCCTGTTGGGCGGCGCGATGCGACGTCTCGGCTTCGCGGAGCCCAGCCCCGGCCAGGCAACTGATCCTCTTCAATTGGGCGAGTCGGAGCGAAATGTCATCTATCCGCGTCTGTACGTTCGGGTGGCCGGCAAGAGAGGCTTGCAGGCGGCTGGCGCGTTGGTCGTATGCTGTAAGAGGCAGAAAGTGGTTGACACGTTGAGGCGCTTGGTTACAGCCTCTTCCGGCACAGAAGAGAATGCAACTTTACATTACTCAGTAGACATAACAAGTAGTATAGCACGATGAAATATATTAGCTATTATTTTGCTCTCTAAGTCCAACACTAGTGCAGATGAGGATGACCACATATATCATGTTCATGAAACAACAATTTTCATTCGTTTTTATAAGATGATCTTAAGCAAAGAATTATGCGATGTAAAAGTGTAATTAATTGGCATTCTTGCGAGCACAGCCCTGAGTATATGATAGTTAAGAAAGTTGAGGGACAGAAAGCAAAACTCTTTTGGCTTTAGGTTTAATCTTTGCATAGGCAGATTCCTCTTTTTCCGTCAGTTTAAAAACATTAACTGACCATATATATATATATATATGTATGTATATATGCATGAATGTATGCATGCGTGAGTGCGTGTATGCAATATTAGTAAAAATAGTATATATATTTATAAATATAATATAATAATAATAATAATAATAATTGTGAGCTCAATATTACTTTTAGACTGAATAATTTGTGATTAATGTTATCGGATATATATGCTGCCAATTTTATGAGATGTATTTACCCAATTTCGTTTAAGGTGATGAAGGACTGGTAGAAGAAGAATTGGGTGAATACATCTCATGTTACTGATTTACTGGTAGTCACGAAAACAATACTTAATTCGAAAAATATAATAATTTTGTCAATGCCATGGCTAGCATACAATTCGTTTTATTGATTGTTGAATTGTGAAGATAGGAAGGATGTTTAAAGAAATTAGCTCCCTAATGTTTTGTAAAATTGTATGATCACAACTCAGGGCAGCTTTATGAACCAAACATGCTAACCGATAAGACTACTTGATGATTTCTAAATGATGTAGTCAATATAAGTCCATGAAAAATGCTACTGAAGTTGAATTTAATAGATTTTATCATATCTTTTACGTGTATGAAGTATGACCCTGTCCATATGCAAGGAAGACCAGAAAAACTGTGATTCATACAAGCTGTATTCGTGATTAGAATCAAACGTATAGTCACCTATTAAAAGTCCAATGCTTGTTGAATTGATGGAGTAAAGAAATAAGATACTTTATCAAATGGAATTCTGTGAGGTGTGAGAAAAAACAACTTGTGCATCTTGTTTGATCGCTTTTTTCCTCCGTATTCTTCTCTCCAAAGTGGTTGTCCCGCTCTGCATCCTTCATGTTATTTCAGCACCGGACCCCTGAAGGATTATGCTCACACATGTTTCGCCAGCACTGCATTTGGCTCGGTAGATGAACAGCCCTGAACGACAACTCAAAACTGTAACGAGTTGTGTAACCTTGTTTTCACAACTTCTTCGCATTGTCAGGGCGACAAAGAGGAACGCAACATGTCTGGAGTCCATAGTATGCATGATAATGTCAAAAATCAGACCGTGAAGTCGGCACCTGCAGTAAAGTAGACATCGCCAATGACTCTTGCCAGTTTTAGTAAAACCCTACAACTTATCAAAGAGACAAGTACGGTTTTTCCTTTACCAACTTGCTGCCAAACATTTGCTGTATCTCTTTTTCTATTCTGGTTCATTCGTCCAAAATCTATCCTCGAATCATCCCTTCACTAGCACACTGCTTTACATGCTTATTTTGATTTGGTTTGGATGTGCCTTTTTTAGCAGATTATGTAAGACCCCCCTGGTTCTCTCATCCAACTGGGAGTGTTGATCCAAGTCAACATTTTTAGTCCGAAATCCTCTTCCTCGTAGGATCCTTGTCTTTGCACCTTGGTTCAGGGATTCCACTCGATTACTTCCACCACGTCCGCGTTACTCGAGGCGTTATGTTCTCTACTCAAAATAACACATCTAAACTAGGCTTAAATTAGCAAGTAAGACATTTTGGTAATGAAGGTGTGTTACGAGGATATATGATAGATGAATGAACCAGGATGGAAGGATGGTCAAAGGATCAAACTCACTTGTACTTGACGAGTTGAAGTGTGGTGTTAACAATGACAAAGCTCACTGACGATGCCGATGAAGCATCTGTGAATGTACCAAGTCCACGATCCGGTTCTGTAAATGATCATGCACACTATGGACTTCGGACAAGATGCCCTCTTCTAAGTCTTTCCAGCAACACGGTAAAGTTACGGAAATAAAGACCATACCATCTTTGTCTTGATACTTTCAAGGTAACAGGTCAACTTGGGCTCATTGACTGAGTGACATTCTATTGAATGATATTGGTCTTAATGGTTGACTGAATGGAAGTAACTCTCAACAGAGGGTAATAGGAAATGGCGATCAAGTAAACTGCTTCACGAAATATTCGCCTAAAAGTAGGCCTAACCCTATTTTCATCTTCTGCACATCCATTTCACTTATAATCCTTCAATTGACATGAAGTTGTTCAGTTCTTCTTCTCGCCTCCGTAAAAGCCATCATAATCTGTCAGATGCCAGAAGAAAACATGACAGCACCGTTCTGTACACACGAGCATGCTGAGGAAACAAGTTTATGGCTTTTTAACACAGTGAAATGATATCGAAATACACCATTTTGTGCAGATTTGCATTAACTTTAGCCCACACACACTCATGCAGCCTTGTTAGTTTATAAGTAGTCTTTCGAGACTATCATATACATGAGATAAATTCACCCTATTTCTCTAAAGAGATGAAGGACTTGTAGTCGAATTTTTCCATAATGATGTCAACAGACTTTACGGTTCCATGAATTTCACATAGTCTTGCTTCCCACAAAGTATTCCCATATCGGACTTAAGCGGACTATAGGTTCAAGGAAAGCCGAGCATTTTTCAATATCCCATTTGGATTGTCGACGAGGCAAAGTTGTATTTGCTATAGCAATCGACTAGATTACTTATTGTCCTATATAAGTAGGTTTTTGAGACTACTATTATATCATATATGTGAGATGTATTCAATTTATTGTGTCAACGTGATGCTGATCTTGAAATTCACATCCTACCTATGACCCAAGGGCACTCGTGACAATGTAGTGTAGTGGCTAGCGTGTCGAAATTATACGCTGTACTACTACAAACCGAATTCGTCTCCCGTTGCGGGTGCTGATGATGCAAGTTCCGGCGAGGTCGAAACTTCAGTCCAGTCCACTTCGGATGAGAATACCCTTAGGGAAGCCAGGTTTTGTGAAATTTAATGGAACCATAAGGTCTAGTGAGTTGATTGCGGGAAAATTCAATTATGAATCCTTCATCACCTTGACGAAAACAGATAACTATATCTCATATTAATGCAACCTTTCATCTGAGCTTGCATCGGTCTTACACTTTTTCATGCTCCAGCAGGCCAGAAGGTTTCGCAAATATCATAAATTTTCGAATAATAGCATAGCCAGACCAGGTCGCTTCATGCAACTTTTTCCATAATCACATGTTTAGGTCTTAAGGTACCATTAAATTTGGTCCAACCTCAAATGTACTACCATTTCGGCCTCGCCTCAACTGATCTCATCAGCACCCGCAACAGGATTTGATATCAGATCATAAGTATCGTGGGGAAATTACCAATATCCTGCACAGTTTCGAGTGCCTATGACTTACAGGGCAGATGCTAAATTCAATACAGGAATTACACTTTTTAATGGGATTAATGATTAAGCAAGCATGTATTCACTATTGCAATCGACGACGTTACTTATTTTCAGCATCTATTGGTTTCGATGTTGCTACTTTTGCTTGAGTAAGTAAGTAGTCACAATATCTTGCTTAAGGAGATTTAAAAACTGATGGTTAATTTTGCCAACAATGACGGCTCTGTAGAAGAGAGGCAATGTTGCTACGATACTTACGCCCCGATATTAAATCCTTTTGTGGATGATGATGAAATTATGAGGCCAAGTTAGAGCTGCAGTCGGGCATAGCTTGGATGAGATAGCCTTTTTGGAAAAGAGGCTAAATGAAATCGGCCTATTCGACATAGACCAAATAACTCGCAAATTAGGAATAACCGATAGTCTCTAAACCTATTTACATAAAAAATAAGTAGATTCGTCGATATAAAGGACAATTTCATGTCCTTATAAAATGCGATTTTGGTAAGAGCAAGGAACCAAGACAATTCCCATAATGAATAAAATACATGACTGCAAAAGATATGAAAAACTATAAAAAGCATATGGTACAAGATTAAGAAGCATCATTCGAGGTAGGAGAGCTTTAAATAATATCTGGCTTTGAAAGGATGGGAAAGTACAGGCCTTATTCTACAAATAAGAAACAAATGGGGAAATATATGTCAAAAGTGGAATTCAAAGAATCTCTCGATATATTCCTGATATCTTTTTTTAAAATTTAGTTTTTAATGCAGATGGAAGCGATTCGTAAAATGGCTTAAATAGGATTGACTTGGAGATGCGACAGTTGGATGGCTGTTAACATATGCACACTATTTTTATTCATCAATTCATCTCAGCTGCAAGCATGTTGAAGGAGTATGCACTAGCCAACCGGAATATGAGGTGCCTCATTAAGATAAAAAAGTTGGTTGTAAGAAGTAAGTATGATTTCAGCCTGCCACCGTTCTTGGTTCACTGCTTAGGCTATTTTTTTAAATTTAATATTATATCTAACAATATTTGATGGTTTATATTTAATACTAATATCATGGTTTGGCAATATATTATAGTCTAATATATTTAATAATATGGTTCCTTTTTCATGCTTTATATATATTTTTATATATAAGGTTGATTTATTATACATTATACATTTTAAATTTATATTATTTCTATATCAATTTATATTTTATGGTGGCATTTATTTATAATATTTTCATATTATGGTCACCATACGATGGGTCTAGAGTGCCATGCAGTAGTAGTTATGATACTTTACACCATCGTACCATGGACTTGGTATATTGCCAGACGCTTCACCGGCATCGTCAGTGAATCTTGTCATTGTTGGTACCAAACTACAATTCTTCAGTGGTGATGTCTCGAAGATGGAAATTGATCAAGTCCAAGCTCTGTAGCTGGAAAGTATCATAACTTATAAAGAAGAGGAATCCGAGCAAAGGGAGTCAATTTAGGTCTTGCTGACCAT